CCCCGCCTGCCCGCAGGTGAGGAGCCTTTCGGCCCCAGCGTGACCGGTGGGAGAAGGCGAGCAGCCCCGCCGGGCTTTGTTGCCCAGACTAGCCTTGCCGTACGGGAGGAGGTAGAAAAGCTTCGCAGATAACCGGCTCGGGGCGCCTGCCGATGCGAGAAGAGCGATGCCGCTACGAGGTCCGGGGAGAAAGCAAAGCTCACCCGGTGGGGCAAAAGCCCCAAAGTTATTACTGCAAGCATCGGGACGTCTTTGGCCCAGCCAGCCTGTGCCAGAACAGCAGTGTCCCACGATTCTAAAATAAATAGCGCTTGAAAAAGTTGAGATGCTCGTAGGAAGAATACTCTCGCCGAACAAGAACGTATGAATGAGGAAGCGCAACTTTCTCCCGTTTCGCATGACAAAAACGTATAGAAGGGGAAGGTGTGCGAAAGAATTGAAAAAGGAAAAAAAATATTTTATAACAAATAAAGGGGAGAGAGAACCTAAGAAACAAATACAGTTACACCTGCGTTCAGTGGAGCTCGCTGCCAGTGATGGACACAGGAGCTGACCATACAGATTGGGCAGCAGAGAGGTTTCTCTGCAGGCAGGAGCGTTTCTCCCTTTTTCCGACAGGAGCTTGGCATTAAAGCTATTCCAGGGGGTGGCTTTCTCCCTTTTTCCGACAGGAGCTTGGCATTAAAACTATTCCAGGGGGTGGAATTCCAGGGTGGTGTCTACCAGGACATGGGCTGACACTGGCCCCATGCTACCACAGCAGCAACCTCCTCCAAGCAAGAAGATGAGCATCTCTAGATCTGCCCAGTCTGAACCGTGACATCATTTGTTAAAATAAGAAATCAGGATGTGCTTGGTATGCATACTTTAGGGAATCAGTTCTGGCTGACTAGGTAAATATTCATTGGCAACAGCAAATGCCTGCCGTGGGAAATCCCCTGAAGAGTCCCTTAAAGATCAGTCGATTGTTGTTCTCCATTTAATTCAAATGCCTGACTATATCTATAAGTTTCTAACTTGGGTGGGAAACAATAAAACAAACACAGCCATGGGATTAAGAACAATCAAGGTGAGCTTGTCAAGACAGACGTCTGCAAGCCTGGCACAAAAGTGATGGCTTCTGCACAGTGTACAAATGCAACAGAAATATAATATAAGACCATATGCAAAAGCCAGAGACAGAACAGAGCGGAGCTGCCTCCCTGGAGCATTTAGGTACACTTGCCTGGGAGACTGACTTCAGGACTGATTGCAGATTTACAAAAATAAGTATTGGAACAGAAATGTTCCACACTGGGCATCCACTTAAACTTTTGAAGGCTCACCTATGAAAGCATTTCAAAGGACACAGAAAAGGAAAAGAAAGTGTTTTCGTCATATAGAAGTAACACAGTTCAGACTGACTCTTCCCTAAACTTTCCCCATCTCTTTCCGTGGACATGGGGCTTCAAGTGGAGGTAGATTTTGCGTCAGGAATGTTCTCTGCTTTCTCTGTGGGAAGCCAAATGTGTTTGGGAAGATCATAATTTTCTTGGGGGCAGGTGAGAATTGGAGACCCTCCGCAGCAGCAGAGGAGACCCAGGTTGTGCCCAGGCAGCTGGTAGGACTAAAGCTGGGCAGAAGCGATGCTGTGCCTGGGAGGTGGTGGACAAATCCTGATGCTCAGCTGCCCAAAAGGGCAGGAGCTGTGGGGAAAGGGCAGGAAGAGAAGAGGGCAGGGTGTTAAAGCACAGCTGATAGGGAAGAAGCAAGGTGAGAAATGGCTGCAGGGGGAGCAGGTGTAGGTTAGGGCTTGGAGGGAGGAGGGTCAGGCAGGGTGGGGTTGGTTTGGAGGTGAGAAGGCAAGCAGTCTGGGTGGGAAACCCTGGAGCTCGCTCCTGGGTGGACACGGGCTGCTGGGGGCAGCTCACCCCATTGCCCCAGCCCTTGGCTCAGTGTTGGACCTGGCTGAGGATCAAGGGAACCCTGGCTGGGGAAGTGAACCAGCTGCACCCGGATAGCATGGCCTCACGGTCCTGCTTGCTTGCAGAGTGTAACTCTTAGGAAAGCACTGCATATTTCTCTTTCTTAAAGCCCTATGGGATGAGAATTAAATCACCTGGACTTTACAGATAGGTTAAACTGGGTTTTTCCTATAGTATCCAGCAGGTGTAACTCCCTTGGGAAACTCCTGCATAGATTTGCCCCTCCAGAGTAATCAAACATGCCGGATTCTTTCCAGCAAAATCTCTGCACAGCTCCCTGCTATCGGCACATTTCCTGTTTACATGTTTTTACTGAGTACACAAAACACTGGGCAGCATGGCCAGCTGCTTGTCCTTTAACCAGATAAAACCGTAACTCCTTGGGTTTCAGCGAAACAATGGGATGCAGGGCTTTGACCTGGATTTAGGCCTGTGCAGCCGTGCTCCTTCTGAGCGATCCAGACCTCCTCCAGGGCCTGTTTGTCCAGTAAGTCTGTATGTTTGGGGTTCGGTTGTTTTTTTCACAAAAAAGACAGGCACAACACCAGCTTCACGCCTTCTGCTCCGATTCCAATATTAGTGCATTTTACTGCTATTCGTGGCCTTGGTCACCCACCCACAGAGTTACGTTGTTTGAACAGAAGTTTTGCAGCTGTCAAAAATGCAAATACTTAATGGGACATCACATAGTAGCAGTACCTAATTTACTTATTTCTGCTACTATACCGAAACAATCAATATTTGGTTTACTGCTTACATAAACAACGGCGATACTACAGTCTATCATGTAATACTTGTTTGCTTTTTTTTATTTTAGCTGTGGATTTCTGTTACTGCTCCTTCATATCCTGAGAGCTGGTAAGTTCAGAGCACTTCAGTTAAAAATGAAGCTACCCTCCCTTAATGTGTTTGGCCAAATACACAGAGTATTTGTAATATGTACAAAATAAACAACTGCATGTTTCCAGCAAGACACTTAAGAATTCCTCAGTTTGACATGCATCAGGGAAAGAAGAAAATATCAGTTTCAATAAGCTTCAGTACAGAGAATAGCAAAGGACCTTATGGATGCTCTTGCTTAGATTGCTCTGCTTGCTTTACAGACATCCTTGCGTATTTACCTCTGCTAACAAAAGACCTTAGAAGTGGGGTAATAAGGGCTGTTGATAAGCAGATCTTACATGCCTGCATAAAGTCCATACTCATATTACGACTAGAATTATCCATGACTGTATCAAGTACCCAATATTAGTCTTTTACTACTGTTCCAAAAATCCCTTTCAAAACAAAGGTAAGGTTAAAGGACGTCACTTGGTGATATTTAAATGTTGTCAGAGTTGTCTCTCCTCTGCTCTTGCTTAATCTCTAAGAAGGACCTCAACAAAGTCGTCAAGGAAAGTCCCCCCATCCCCAGATCAGGACAAACTATACCAGATCCAGTTTCAATAGATGCCAGCTGGCCTGCTCCTAAATAACGCCAGCAATGGAGGTGCCCCTGTCTTCCTAGGCAATGCTTTCCAGAGCATCACTTCTCCTGCTGCTATGAGGGAGGGGTTTCCCAAAGCCTGAGCTGCATCATCCTCGTTGCAGTTCAAGCCCCTTACTTCTTGTCCCACCCAGCAGAGGATAACGGGCCTGGAGAACATACTGCCTTCCTCCCTGCAAGTACTGCGTTTGCTGCAGTGGTATTTTTAAGCCAGGGTGCCCGACTCGGATGTGTAGATGAGCTATGCAGGTGTCCATGGGGCTGGGAATGCTTAGACCAGCTGGTCCTCAGAGAAAGAAATAAGCAAAAGGCTTTATGTTGTAAAAGGTCCCTTTGGAAATTGTACAGACAACCAGATGTGGAGAGAACTAGCCACTGGCAAGTCAGGAGGTAGGAATGGCTACGAAGCGAGCACACTCACCTGCCTGTTACTAATACTGGAGTCCACATGTGGTAGAATATACTTGAAAAGAATGATATTTTTTTTCCACATAACCTCCCTTTTCTCTCTCTCTCTTTTAATCTTGTAGTTATTGCACTGGAGGAGAAGATCATCATCAGTAAACTCGGAGACAACGCTACACTGAGTTGCATTTATCGAGAAAGAGAATTGCACTTAAAAAATCTACGGGTATATTGGCAAATAGCTGATGATCAAGAAGAGTGTTCAGTTGTACATGCACTGATCTCTGGTCAAGACAACGAAAGTGAACAGTGTATTCACTTTAAAAACAGGACTCAGTTATTCTGGGATAGACTGGAAAATGGCAACTTTTCTCTGCTACTACTAAATGTCAGCCAGAGCGATGAACATACGTACCAGTGTGTAGTACTGCAGACAAATGAATATACCAAAGTGATTCACCAGGCACAAGTGGTTCTCAGTTTAGCAGGTAAGAACTTGTAACACTTGCACATATTTGCGCAAATTCTCCTTCCAGCTTTTCAAATTTGTGCCATTTCAGTATTACATGTAAGCATACCCTTAACTTTGAAACATACTTCAGCCCTTTGCTGAAATGAAATCTGCTTAATTTAAGTGTTACAGGTAAGGAATCGGTAACTGGGAGAATACCCGTAACAGCTATTTGTCCAGCGTAGGCTTTTTTTCTTCTCCGTTTTCATTAATCTCAGGGCTCTTGCCTGTGACTGGGTGACAGCAGCTTAAGAAGTTGCTTTCTTCCTTCGAGTTTGGCCTCAGCCTTCTGCCCTTCCAGTAATTCCCTCAGCTCTCTGGCTTACACGCCAAACCTGCAGGTGTTTCCCTTTCAAGTCATGAGGGTCGTGCGAAACCCAGAACTTCCGCTTCAAGAGCCCACATCAAAATTTTGTCTTTTCAATACGTTTCAACTTGTCGATGACTATTTCTATTTCTCTTGCCTCTCCAGCTAGTTATAGCCAACCAGTACTCATTGGACCGATAAGAAACAGTAGCAGCACTGAAGAGGAGATGACTTTCAGCTGCAGGTCCAGCAATGGATACCCAAAGCCCAATGTTTACTGGATAAATAAAACAGACAACAGCCACCTGCCTCCATCAGAGCTCAAGATCACCTCTGACACTGATGGCACTTACAACGTTTTTAGCACGCTGAAGGTTAAAGCCACTTCTAACATGCAAATAGAGTGCTCCGTAGAAAATAAAATACTGCGGGAAAACCTGTCAGCCAACTGTAAGTCCCTTCATGATCCTTCATGTTTTCTAGGTAGCAGATATATCAACCAGCGTGTCTCTGTAGATACGCATGAATGAGGGGCACACGTTAATTCAGTTGTTTCCCAAAAGCGCGGAGAAGAGGGCAGTTTTTGTTTCAAGCTAGTTATGCTTAGCCATGGACTTTATGTTTACTTCTGACTTCCTCCACACTGAAGTGAACACCCTATCAAGCGCATTATGGCCAGCAGCACTGAGAAGCTCTTGTGTCTGAGGCAGTCACTGGGCTTTGTCACCCTTTGGTTCCTTGGGTACAGCTATAGTAGCAATAGTGAATTTCATGATTTCCAAACAGCTGTGTAGAGAAGCTATCTGGAGTGGGAGAGCTTATCTGGAGGTGGCTGTTCAGCCTCACTGTTGCTCCTGGTCCTGCCTCCCACCACACCGTTCTCTCGCGGGTTTCTGCACCCCGGTACGAGGAGGTTTGGTTGTTTGTGTAACTGTAGCTGGATTCCCACAGCTAATTTACCTGAATGCACCAAGGAATCGCATACTCTGGACTTAATGACACTGATCTCACAAACATAGCCAGGGGTTATACATTGAACTATTTCCAGGAACAAAACTGTGTGCACAAGCAAAAATTACACAGTAGAGTGTTTGTATGATAGCACATATCTTGCTGTCATCCCAAATTAAAGGAAAACTAAGCACCCTTGTCATTAGTTTCCTAATGGCATTCTGTCATATTGTATTCTGGAGGAAAAGACCTCCATCTTCCTATTTTTTGTTGGTTTCTAAAAGCACCACCACGCTTGAAAGAGTAAGAGACGTGATTTGAAACCTTCAGTTTGCAGCAATCAGTGGAAATTTGTCACTAACTTTAGGGAAACATATTTTCACCCACTTTTCTGAATACCATCAGATTTACATTATAGATGCTCTATAGATTTATTTTCAACTGAGTCTAGACACAAGCTCAAATGTACAATCTTCCAAGGCTGGCAGGAAAGAAGAACAAAAGGGAAGAAAGAGGGATGCGTGCTGTATGATCACAGGAAGGAATAAACTGGCATTGTATTATTAAACAGTGTAAGCTGGAGATGTGCCTTGCTCAGAAGAAATACCACCAGAATCACAGCGATAGGAATAGCACAACTATTTAGTCCTTCAGAATCTTCTTGTGCATGTAAAACGTGGTCAAATATTTGCCTGGTATGAAATGTGAAAGTTTACAGCTTATTACACCCCTGTTCTATTTCATTCTAGACACACAGCAGAAGCAAAGCAGTGGTTCTAGCACAGAAAGTCAGAAAAACCTGGAAAAAAGTGGACGAGGTGCTCAAGCGTCTGCCATCGTTTCCATTGTCATTCTGATAGGTGTTCTACTAGCTGTTTTAACCTGCTGGCTGTGGAGACGGAGGTCCTCTAGACTAGTGTCCTACACAGGTAATGAGGCTTTTCATTTGCTGAAGAATTCTTTTTCATTTGCCAAAATATTTAATGTCACTCAGCATGCTGCTAGAAGGTACGCGTAAATTCTCTGCACGCACCAGCAGGAAATCATACTGTTATCCTGGGGTTCCCTGGGGAGGACATATAGTGCCCCAGAATGTGTTATTCTATATGGTTTTCTGCTAATACATCTGAGCCTCACAGGAGTTAACTGCTGGGTGGGGGAGTAACTCAGGCCACAGTTTCTGAGCTGTGATCCCTACAGGCTGTTTCTGGACAAACGGAGGGGATGCTCCTCCATGGAACAAGACTGGGGTCAGTAGCGCTCTCTGCAGCAGAAATCAGAGGATTGATTTTACCCTAAGAGCTTCAGAATCGCTGGCTGGGCACTTAAGGCTTCAAAATTCCACTGGCATCAAGCAGCTTTCTACAAGTTAGAAATAAAGCATGTCTCACTGTCACTTCACGTTATACACGCATACCCTTGTATTGCTTTGTTTGCCCTCGTGCGGGACTCTTCAGTGCTTAGCAAGACAGGACAAAAGGTAGCTGTAAAGGACATCCTGTGAACGAGACTCAGCCTGCTGATGTAGCTTAGTACTTCTATAAGCCACTTTGCAGGTATACAATAGCTAACATCTAAGAAAAGCGAGCAGGGGCAACCACAATTTTCATGGACAAGGACAAACCACATTTTCAATCCATGCCCTCTTCCTCATGGCTAACAAGCCCAGGTGCTTCAGAAGAGAGCAGGAGAAAGCAGGGTGGTGATCTTGCCAGCATCTGCAGCAGCTGCACTAGGAGCCACGTCCTTCCTTCAGACACAACCCAAGACTCTGTCCCAAAACACGAAGCAGGGCTGTAGCTTCAAGCCCAAAATCTATCTGTGCTGAAACGGTGACCTGGACTGTAAGCAAACAGAGTATGGACTGCATTTTGTGGTCCAAGGAGCATTTAACGTATTGAACCCTCAACTTTGGTGGATGTTGCTTAATATTAATCCTATTTGGCTGAAGACTGCAGTTATTTATCCTTCATGCTTAAAACAGTGCATTTGTTTCAACAGATGTCCAACCAGAGGAAGACAAAGGAGGACTCAACTGTAAGTATTAAAAATATGTTACTGTATTTGTCTCAAAAGTGACTTACCTTCATAGCTTCAGTACTCAAGTTCAGCACAAAGCCTTTGGATTAGGCTCGCTGGATGTTACAAACTCAAGCACATAAAGCGGTAGCCCTACTTCTTTTCTCAGCCCTTTCCTTGAGCTCTGTAAGGCGTCGCCAAAGGCAGCCCGAGAGCCTGGGTTCCCAGAAGTTCCTTCGATAGTTCAGGCCAAAGAACACGACGAATCCACAGGGGACAGAGGATACAGGCTGAAGCCACCCTCCCCTCCTGTTCTACAGCTGTGCTGCAGCTGCTGTTGCCATCAAGACAGGTGGATTATGCTACAAGGCAGGCAGAGCCAAACTTGGAAAGTCTGTTTTAAATGCTGATTTTTCAAGTCTGGGCAACACTGACCATTTTTCACTTCATATCACATCAGTGCCCGTCACCAAGTAGTTGTTCTCTGCCTTTTTAGGCACCATGTCCTAGAAGGTCTTTAGCTGGGATACAGGAACATCATATGCCTCATGTCTATGAACCTGAGCCTATATACACCCAAGTTAAAAAGTACAAAGCGCTCTCCTTTCCTAGAGGAAAAAAAAAAATGCAGTTCAGACCTTCAACATGTTCGTATTTTTTATAAGCAAGATTGCAATATTGCAGGCCACCTAGTTTACAAATTCATTTATCATTTACAGTGGGGGGAAAAATAAAAACAGAGCAAAAAAATCCAAGACAAATTTGGAAAAACAAACTCAGCCCAGGCGACTTGCGCGAGTACAGAGAGGATGAAATACCTGCCTCATTTATATCTCATTTGGTAATTTCTACTGAAGCAAATGACCGTTGCCTGGTTGTCTCTGCAGAACAGGCAGAAAATACTGTGGCTGCACCGAAACCTTAATAGTGAAAGCATCATTTGCCCTAGCAGATGCTGTGAATGTACCCAATTCATAATATCAAGCAGAAGCAAAATAACCCTTAAAAAACTTTTTCTAGAACTTCTTTGGTGTCACACAAACTAGGTTAATGGTCAGTTATTTTCCAGACCCATCACGTAACCCCAGCCTGATCCACAACATTTGTGCTTGGTAAACAACAAGCGGGCGTTACATGGTCTCCTGTAGAGGATAATGTAGAAAGAGGGATGGATTTTCTCAAGAGAGAGACATTTTCTCCTTCCGTTCCTGTGAGCTGCATTAATCTAACATAAGCAGTTCATTTAAGATCAACTTTTTCCTCTCTGGACTTACTTATACTAGGCCCTATTTTATTAGATCCCTGGACATAGCCCATAAACGGAAAAGCCTCTGTGACATGAATAGGAGTAAATATTTCTCTTCTATTGAAGACTGCTGTAGCACAATTTGTTTATTAACAACAAAACAAAGACACTTGCCTTCCAGAAACTATCTTTTCCTTGGCACATCTCCAAACCATGTGTGGAAAGGGCGGTGGGACAGCAGCTTTGGTGCTATCAGAAGCTGTCCCACCTCTGAGGGCCATTTTCTTCCACCAGAGCCACGCAAGGCATGGAAGGCAGGATCTTTTAGGCATCCCCATTTCAGGGCAACTTGGACCAATACCAGAGAAATTAGAACGATCTAGGAATGTGACCTCTGGTGAAAGATTAGTTATGTTTGTTTAGGCTGGAGACAGCAAGGCTGATTAAGGCACAATAACAACCCTATTGAGAGAGTCCTTAAGAAGGATGAGACAAGTTATTTATTGTCCTAACCCAGAGGACACAGCACGTGAGGCACTACAGGCTTAAACAAAGGAGCTTTAAGCTACATGTTAGGAAAAAAGGCCCTTCTAAGAGTAAGGGTAGTTGAGCACCAAGGCAGAGAGTTTGTGCAGGCTGTCAAGTTTCTATCAGTCCAGGTTTGTTGCTGTTCTGTTTTATTCTTAACAAAAGAGGAAACCAGTATCTGTCAGGAATTATTTAGAAATAGCCGGTACTGCCGCGGGGCAAAAAGACAGGCTCTTGGAGAAATTCTAGCTTAATTCAATGATTATTTGAGATTTTCAAGCAAGTTGTGCATGGTAGATGGGGAATAAGGTACTGTGCAGGTCGCACCCCCAGGGACACTCTGCCACGGCATTTTGCTTTTCAATGCTGATGTAAATGTGTTTCTGTTTCTATGGGTTTCACTTCATAAAGGTGGTGAGAGTGTTTCATGGGGGGGTGGGAATCTTGAATGCTGCAAAACCAAAAAGAGCCAAAGACTAGCTTTGGTGTTACAAAGAAAAGTTGTAGAGAGTGGGAAAGGCAGGTTGTGAAGAATAACTTCATGACAGTGGGGTTAGTCTCTCCAGGCAACCATTACAGTCAGTGGGGCAGGATGATCCACTGAGGAGAAATTCAGAGCTGGAGTAATTCTGAATTGCTGTCTGGAGGGATCCCTTCACTGCCTGTAGAGGAGCCTCAGGAATCTGCTTTCCCTTGGCCACAGAAAAGTTTTGTGCATCTTGTTCTCTGAAGTAGCTTAAAACAAACCAGAGGCGACACTGACATCCCTTCATGAGGGAGGGGGATGTTAGCAGGAGGGCACTTTTTGCATTTGCAGAAGGAGACGAGGCATTTTCAGTCTGTGGCACAGGGTCAGAGGGCCCCCAGCATCTCTAGTATTGAGGCAGGGCTTCAACCCCAGCCAATTCTCTCTCAGCAGCATGAATGCACCTTTTCCACAGCTTTGCAGCATGTTCCACTGATTACACAGGAAAAACAACCATAGGACATTATTTCTGGGGGATTTTTTTCTATTTTTTTTTTTTTTCTAAAAAGATGTTTTGTTTTTACAGCACCTGTCTAAGTGGAAAGCCTGCCAACAATTTGGGCAGCTATGGAGATGTGTCAAGAGAAGCATCACCCCCCCTCTCTCAGTGGCAGCATTGCTTGTAATACAAGTGACAGATTTCTGCAGAGAGATGGCAAAAAAAAAAAGCTTCTCCAACACAAAAGACAGCAAAATCCACTGGATTTCTGTTCCAGCCACTGGCCGTGTCCACACAACGGTTGTGTCACCACACCGGCTATCACTTTGGACAGTCCTCTGTGATAGTCTGTCAATGTTTTGAGCTCCTGCACTGGGGAAAGCCTGGGACTTAGCTACCCCATGGCAGAGCGCTGAAAGCTGCCAAGTGCCCAGTCTCTCGTCATCACCATCAGGGACTTTGTCAGCAGCGGAAGCCATCGCGTTTCAGAAGCATGGGAAGTTCTTGCTGCTTCTCCTTACCCTGACAATGACTACTGAAGGTGAAGAACAGCAGCAAAAAAAAAAAAAAAACAAAACCAAAAAAAACCAAAAAACACACCCACAACAAACAACCACCCAAAGAAAAATTAAGAATTCCTCGCAAAGTGAGATTTGTGACCTTTTCCACTTTTCTCTCTCTGTAGTACATCCTTTCCTTTTCTGGTTTCATCAGCTGCATGTTATTGTGTACAGAACAAGGTAGAACATTTTGACTCAGTCCTCCAAAAATAGGAGTTGCTACGACAGGGTTAAGCACTGAATGTGCCAACATAAAGGAACATGATTTCTTTAAATGCACTTGATATCAACGTTTTGTTTTTTACCTAATATTCCACCGAAAAAGGGGATTTCCACTTTTCACAGAAGCCAGTACATACTGTGTGAAAGAACTGGCTGTGGAAATCTGACCGATTGAAAATAGCAGTCTCTGCTGTGTTAATGTCGGGTTACCTGGACTTACCCTTTTCGAGATGGAACAAAAACTGTGGTTGAGTTCTGCTTGATTCAGCTGGTCTTTATTTAAGCACTCCCCTGCGACTTCCAGGGAGGATTTTAAACTGAACATCTCCTTGTGTCCCATCCCTCCACTCAAAGAAAAACCAAAAAAGTGCAGACTATATCACTGTGTTGTCCATGGATGTCCAGAAAGCCAAGAACTGCAGTTTCCTTGTGCCAGTGCTGACTCCGACCCTAAGTCAGCCAAAAGCAACTGGTTGAAAATAGCAAAGCAGTAAACTTTGCTGATGGGTATGAGGCTTTGAAGGAGGAGGAATCTGTACTAGCTCTCCTGCCTAAGAGGGGCAGTTTTCCCCATCTTGTCATGGGCGGGGTGGAGATAATGACTTTAAACTGAGCCCTAGAAACAAATGGCATCTCCTGTACCAGTTGCTAGACTAAAATCCTACCATTTGGGGGATTAAGTCTCAGCCTTGTTTGTCCTAGCTCTGCATAGGGAAGGCACTCCACTGTCAACTGTGAGATAGGACATGGATTTTTCTTATCAACATCAGCTTTCAGATCCCTGCCAAGTGAAAATACATTTTGTTGTCCTGTTCTCCTATCACACAGAATCCAGAACCATTTGGCAATTGCACAGTTAGCTTTTATTGAAGCAGTACCCCTAAGGAGGCTCAGAGTTGGGCAGCTGTGCACTGCCACCGTACCAGTATCTTGTGGGAGGGCTGCACAGGCTTGGCCTCCATGGCATTTAAGAGAAGGGGCAGTTTAGATCTCACTTGATGCAATCTAGGCTTACTTGCCAATTTGAACAGGATAGGGAAATTTAAAAAAAAAGAAAAGCCAAGCTGCAACTAAATAATTAAGCTCGTATCTCCTCTTTAGATTGTAAGTAACTGTGTATAATTGTGGTTTTTTCAAGATATTTTCTCTATTAATGTCAAAAAAGTATAGCGCGTATTTGCTAGTCTTGCATGGTATCTGTGAAGAATACTGTTTTATTTATTAATTTCACTTTTGTCCTCTGTTGCCTTCCAATCTACAACTGCAGCATACCCTATCAGGTAGGGCATTTAGCTCACAGCATTTGTCAGATAAGTTTACTGGGGTACCATAAGTTCATGTAAACGTCAGCCTTTCCTTGACTTCTCTCATGTCTGTTAATCTAGGTGTTAGATATTTTCTGAGTCCATATCTAGTCTCCAGTGAACCCTAAAGCGAATTTGCTTGAAGAAAGCGTGCAAGCTCTCAGACGCTTTAAAAATGTGAACAACATCTGTGCGGATGTGTAGGGTAACCATTTCCTAGTTGTTCAGTTAGAAGTCTGCAGACATTTCCTTGCTATCTATCACATAAAGTTGTTTTGCGCAGCCTCTTCGGTGCTGCCGTAACTGACAGAAGCCTTTTCTAAAAACAGTTTTCCACCTTTATATTCTGCAACTGCAAGAAGGTAGAACAGCTGAGAGTTGTAGGTGACCTAACAGCTGCTTCGCAACATGCTGTTAAGCTAGTTTAAACTGGTTGGATTTTCTTACTTCTGGGCTACTACATGGTGCATGCTGAATACAGTTAAACGCAACAGCCTACTTCTTGCAAAATCCATACCTTCAATTGGTTTAGGTTTCCAGCTATTTTTGGAGGCAAGTAAATCCTAGATGACAGTTGGTGGTTAGCATTCAAAGGACTTCGGAATTTTCTAATAACAGAGTTTTTGTCATCATGTACCATGTTTATATTTTAAATAAAAATCTGTTTGTTATTCCGGTTGTTTGACTAAGTCTATCAGCACATAAAGACAAGTCACTCCAAACTATTGCCCCCAACCAAAGTGGCAGTTTTACTTTCACCCACATCCCTCAGGGCATATTGAGCGCTCCCTTTCCAAAGCCCTCAGACGAGGAGAGACCAATGCAACACAGACTTGACAAGTTTTGCTCTATTTTGGCTCGCACAACAAAATACCTTGAACAAACTCAATGAAAGCCACGCGGTAGCCTGAAGGCAGCGCTAAGCCTAGGCTGATGCATCCTTTCCTCACCCAACTTAGCAACCCCTAGCAGAGCAAAGGTACAACGCACCCTCCTGCTTCCAGAACTGAAACCGGCTCATTGCACTGTCCCAGGGCTGTGCTGCACTTGGGCACTGGCACCCCTCTTATTTCCTCTCGTTAAAGACAGTGGCTCACATGAACTGCATGTCCCAAGCAACTTAAACACATGCGCAGGAAAGCACCGCTCAATACAGCTTTGTGGGAAGACTCTAAGAAATGGACTCACTTTCACAGAAAAGCGAAAGGCTTTCGTTGTGGCATGGCTGGTAAACCACAGATGGAAAGTCCCGAGAGAGAACATGTGTCACTACTTAGTGGTCTGAATCCATCTGTCCTGTAGTCAAATTCATTATTTAAATTTTTTCACCTGTGAGAGCCGAAATATCTCTTTTGCTCAAAAATGCATTCCCTTCTTCCTCTTCCACAACCCTGACTCCAAACACTTTTCTTGACAGCCCCTTGTGCTATGTCAAAGAAACTTTATTAGTTGTGTTTCCACATTGCAAAGTGAATCCTTTTCACATTTGTAGCAAACATACACAAAAGTTCACATTACCCCATGAGGGTAGTATCTCTAACCTCTCTCTTTTCCAGGGCAAGAGAAACTGCTCTAAAGGATAATTGAGTACATCCCAATTCCACAGGGAGGTGACCTGCGCATACACCATAGAAGTTAGTTAGGCTCTTGGGACTCTTCCTCTCAGCCTGTGATGTGGCATTAGGACCTTCACCACATTCATTGGACAATATGGGATGAAATCATTGTAAGCTGGTCCCCATCTGAGGACTATAAAAGGCACCCCATGTGTTCCTTGAGGTGATCTCCTCTGCATCTGGCAGCCCAGGGAATTACGGGCCACAGACCAGTTGCCTCTGCCTCATTCATCTTTCAAGACATGCTTATGTGACAATGTCTCAATTTGTACAATGACCTTCCAACACAAGAAAAATGCTTCCAACACTTCATGTATTATCAACACGCTAATAAGCCTAAAGAGCACATCCGAACCAATGTCCCACGCTGCAAAATGCAAGTCCTTGGGAACTACTCATGACCTTACCGTTAAATGCAAACTGAAGTACTTTGTTAGGAAAGAGCCTGTCTCCCACTTTAGCCTGGCACAGAAAATTGCTGTGTAGAGATAGATGCTTTTATATCAACAGAGACTTAGGCTGACCTTCCAACTTGCCAAAAATAGGTCCCAACAGTTTAGTAATAAAACACTAATTCATTTTCCTGCAATTTCAAGAAGTGCTGCTTGGGGCCATTCTATAATTGGAAAACTTGGACACAGAAGTCACACACTCGGGGTCATGCAAGGCTGTAGCTGATTTGGTGCTTGAACTCGGGTCTCCAGCATGCAGAGGCCTTCCCTCTTTCCTTTGACTTGCTGTACTGGAACATCTACTTCTTTGCAGCATTCACCCCAGTAGACATCATAGGTCAGCAGAAGCTATTTGCTTTTTTTTTTTTTTTTTAACAGAATTGCTTATAGGGTTGCCAGACTGCACTTTCATATCTATTGCACAAAAAACAGTCTGCCCTTAAAAAATTGGAAAGACGAAAAATATGACAAAAATGTCTTTTAGTTGAGACCTGAAAACTTTCAAGAATGTGTCAGTAAGAAGCAACACTAATGTGGACGTAATGTGGACAGCAGGCAAGTGCTAACATTTCCTTCTTAATTTCTTCCACCAGGAGATCTATGCGGTCACGTGACATCCCTCTTACGAGGCCGAGTATGTAGTTTTGAAACAAAATCAGGTTTGCTTGCAAAAGCTTCTTTTCCACAGCATCATGCTGGACTAGAGGCAATTCTATTCGTCTCCATCTCTAACAGTCAGACTTACTGTTATTATTTTACCTAACTTCTGAAGTACATCACTACTGCAAGTCACAGCAGCTAAAAAGACATCAAGGGATAAGGGTGTAAAATGTCAGAACTATTGCCCAAGCACTGTAGCTGCTTTTCTAACACAAGGCAAACATGAAGTACATTTATTGGAAATCTTATTAACCAGCTCAGATCAGTTTTGATAAGCCACCAGTGACATTAAACTCTGTGTCAGCAAAGTACCAGAAATCCTATCATAAACCTGGTCTTTTAAAGCCCATTCTTTGGTTTCCCGTATGTACGGTCATATTTCCACATCTCTCTGGCACTATCTGCAGCTCAGAGGGTGGGTCTCTTATTTAATACACATCACTGAATTCTCTTACCAGAATCATGAGAAAAATCCAGCCCTGTGTTGGTTCTTGATCTACTGAACCAGGCAACAGGGCTGGCCAGATAATGACCATCCTTTCAAGGGACATTCATTGACTGTTTCTACACAGGGCAAGGCAGGGAGCCAGCACCCCAGCGAGGTCTCTTGGCACCAGCTTACATGAGAAGCG